TCGGCTGTCTCCGGGGAGGGTTTCGTAAGGTAGGTGGGTTTGATGAGAGGTTAGGGTGGAAATGGACGCAAATCTGTACACAGCGTGTCATACAGAGTGATCCGTAATGAACTTGGGACGACGAACCCAGGTCACAAGGCCATCTTTGGGTGGAGTGATCACCTACAGTAGTACGTCCCCCAAAGGACATTGCATTTGAGTAAAACTTCCAGGGGAGAGGGGAAAAAAAAAAAAAAAAAAAAAAAGGAAGTAAAGGAAGAAGAAAGAGAGGAAAGAAGGAAAAGAGGAAGGATGGAAGAAAAGAGAAGGAAAAAGAGAGAGAAAGAAAAGAAAAGAAAAGAAAGAAAAAGAAAGAAAGAAAGAAAGAGAGAAAGAAAGAAAGAGAAAGATGTTCTCTCCCCACCACCACCACTGTTTTACTTGAGAACCCCTCCCAATACTTGGCCAACCTACAGATCATTCTGAGTGTGAGCAAGTAGTCTTAGAAAACGAGCAGGATGAACCCAGTGACTCTCAAGCCTGGACCTGGCAGAGCAAGGGAGGCTAGCTGCTGGAGGCAGAGCAACGACAGTGACTTCCCGGAAACCCGGGAGTCCTGGCTTTGGATGCAGATTAAACACCTCAACACCGAGGACCATGCAGAACACGGTTACAGCCTAGTACTAGGTGGAGTAGTGTCCTGAGTGCAGGGACACCTGAGTAGGGCCTGGGCCTGGGCAGGACTGTGTGAACCCCATGGAGGCTGGGATACTCAGTGAGGAAAGTTTAAGAGTGATGTTCTTACTGCCCTGGGGAGTCGGTCCTGGGACCATGCCAATCCTCCACAGGGCAGCGTTGGAGCAAGGGAGCAAGGACTAGAACTGACAAAGCTCCTCCTCCACTGGGAACCTCAGGCCCTACCTTAGGCCTATATCCCTTCTGCCTGTACCTTTCACTCCGTGCTGAACCAGCCTTTGAAGCGGCAGCACTGGGGCCTTTGAGTTGCCCGTGAAGGCTGGGTTCTCGCTGAGCCTGGACAAGTGACTCATCTTGAACTAGCCTGTGCCTGCAGACACATGACTCCCAACGCCTTGACCAGCCAGCCTCCTTCACCACCAGGGGCTGGGTAGCACAGCCTGCAGCTGCATTCTGCATGAATCTGTACTTCCCTGGGCCACTCCCACCACACCTGCCATACCTGTATCACAAGTACCCTCTTCCTGCTGTTTTCCTCTGCTCACACACTGTCACCTCCTGGAGAGCAGCCACGGAGGTGGAAGCTATACTGGAAATGCAGTTTCCAGCATCCCTTTGAAAGGAAAAAGCCAGCATCCAGATGGGCAGCAGCAGCCCCACGCATCCTCCTGGGTGAAGGGTGGAGCCAAGAGAAAGAGAGTTCTCCCACAGACTGAGCAGGCCCTTGCTCAGGGTCCCTCTCAAGTGTCCTCACTCTAGCTAACCAGTGTGCTCCCTGGTCGCCAAAGGAAATATAAAGTCAGGGCTGCCAAAGGATGAGGAGAAAATTAATTAATGAGGGAAAGAAATGTGTCTGTGATCCAGATGATAGAGTCCCTGTCCCTGGGGGCAGAAATTCCTTGGAAATCAATAGCTGTGCCTTCATTACCCCTCTCTTGATAAAACGCAAAGCTTATGAGATGGGGGGGGGTGTAATCTGTGTTGGTCATTAAACAAGAAATGGGGGGGGGGAGGTGGACTGCCCCGGAACCCATGCCAAGGTGCAGACCCACACTGGGCACCATTAGCAAAGGCAGGGACCAACTAGTTACAGCAGTTGTCAAGCCAGGAAAACAAAGCCGTGACAGGAGGGAGGGCAGAGCCAAGGCTGACTTAACCACCCTTCGCTTTTACCCTGCAGAAGGAAGTGTCCCTGGGGGTGGGTGGGGGTGGAGCTTAGGGTGTGCACTCTTGGGCAGGATGGCTCTCCAGGCATCCTTTTGTACTTTCCTTGGACAGTCATCACCACGCTGTACCTATAGCACGTATACCCGCTTCCTGTGGCTTCCAGTCCTCACAGACCTTAAACTCTTAGAGACCAGATACTCATAAATTAGAGTTCCTTTTATCTCCAGTGTCTGAAGCTGGCCCAGACTATGGCTGGCTGAGCAAACAGGTAAGGAAGGAAGATAATGAAGCTTGTCAGGGGACTGTGAAAAGAGCCAGGGTGCCTCTGCCTAGGGCAAGCACACCCTGCCCCAGGCTTTATCTTCAGGAGACCCCTTCACAGATCTTGCAACCTTCAACCAGCCTCGGCCTGTTGAACCAATTCCTCCTGTCTTTTTCTCTTGTCTCTGCCCAACTGGTCCTTCCTCTTTTTCTAAGTATTAGTATTGTTTGACAAAGCTCTGGATGTTACAAGTATGTTGGCAAACAAATAAGGCATGGGTGACCCCTGGATTGGACCACAGTCCCTAATTTCTAGTGGGGAGGGGGAAGGAAAAGCCTTCTTCAGAAAAGGAAAAGTACCCTGTTGCCAAAGAGAGGTGCATTGGTAAGGGGCTCTTGAAATGGTTAGCTCCTGCATCATCCTGCTGGCCCATAAGTCTATGGGGTCAGAAGGGTGAATGGAAGGAAGTTTGCTTGGAGTCGGTAAGGGCATGTGCCCTCCAGCCCCCACCCAATGGATCCATCTGGCCACAAACCTACCCTGTTTGCCTTTCAGACTGTCCTGAGCCATTTAAGGCCCCTAGAGGCAAACATTTCCCCAAGGACGTGGAGCCCAGGCTGCTGGAGCTTGCTTCTAAGAAGGCGGGGCGTTCTGTCTTAAACCCGGCAAGCGAGCGCAAGGACCCACTGCAGTGAGTGGGTGTCAGGAAGGATTAGATTAAGTCTGGACACCCGGTGGGTTGGGGACCGCAGGACTCACTCTTTCCCTCCAGCGATGTCCCGCTCATGGTCCATTTCCCGCTGAGATAAAGTTGCATTTAGTGCTCCCAGGGGAACCACGTAATGGATGAAGAAGTGGCTCCTTCTTGCACCAGCAAATGAACATCCTTCTCACTTCCCTCTCAGGCTAGAAGAAAGGGAGGGGGTGGGAGGACAGAAAGGAAAGAAAAGAGAGAACAAGTCGGTGACGCCTGTGGGCTCTTCTTGGAATCTGAATAAATGAGTGGGTATCCTGAAGACGCACTCGCTTTAGAGCAAAGGAAAAATAAAATCTTCTGGGCCGCAGATTTCGGTTTGCAGAAATGAGATCTGCCCTTTGGTGAGAATGCAGACCTCCGTGGTGTGCCAGTGACCTGAAAGATTATTTATCTGATCTCTGCTTCCCATAAGCAGTTTCTTGCCTCTCTCAGGCTCTCTCGCTAGCAGATGTGATAACATCTGGACCTTTATTATCACCCTAGGCAAGTACTGCCTCCTTAGGGACTTAGACACCCGAGCCAAAGCTCCCTAGAGAGGCTCTTGATCTTTTGCTACATACGGGTACTATAACAGGTTGGTTAATTGATTTCTTCTTCTTAGATCTTGATAACACACTATTTATTATTATTATTATTAGCTGGACCAGACAGTGTACTAGAACCTTCAAGCTGACTTAAATATTTTGAATCACAATCTCCTATAGGTTAGCTTCATTCTGCATCCTAGGAAAGCAAAATAATATAAGCAAGCAAATAAAAAACAAATAAACAACCAAAAAAATCAGCAGCAAACAAGGAGCCAAAACGATGCAAAAGAAAGTTCTCGTTTCAACGTCTTATTCTCTTTTCTCGGAAGTGGTTTTCTTTTCCTGGAGTTTCCAGAAAAAAAAAAAAAAGGAAGAAAGAGAAAAAAGTGTGTGTGTGTGTGTGTGTGTGTGTGTGTGTGTGTGTGTGTGTGGGTGTGTGGCCAAAGAGGAAAAGATCCTGGCTACACCCTGTTAACTATTTTTCGCTTTTGATGACTGGAAGCCTCAGATCACCTAGAGCTGCTTTGAAAAGTGAGTTTGTACACTGTTACAGGAGACAAACAATAAGAAAAATGCACAGTTTCATTTCAGCAGCCTTCCCCGAGTAGAAAGCATATGCTGGCTCCTAAGTGACTGTCACTGGTGGTGCCTGACACAGTTATATTCACAACAACAACAAAGTATGCAGAGAAATTAAATTACGTGGAAATCAATAGCGTCTGACTGCTTCAAACAACTGTCTGTCAGGGCTATTATTCTCCAGGAGCCTATTTATAAACCATGAAAGAAACAGGTTCTTGCAGCATAAAGACAGCGTCTTCCACGTCGCATCTCTGTGTTGTTATTTTTCTCCATATACAGAGGAATGCGCGGGCATAATTTAACATACAAATGCCTCTCTGTGTACATTATGTAACAGCTCGTTAGGCCCCCGGTAGTGGAGGTGTGCCCAGATAACGCGCATATATTCTGGGTAGGCGACAGGGGTGGGGGGGAAGCATACGGTCGAGGAGCGCCCGAATCCTGTCCTCGTACCTCCAGGAGGTGCCTACCCTTAGACAATAGCTGGCCTTTTTGCTCTCTGCGGACCGGCGGGCGGGAAGGTGGGCCGTGCAGCGCGCATGCCTGGCCAGCCACAGGTGCATCACCTGCGCTGTCCTGGCGGGTGGTCACTCTAAGAGCGGCTTCCCACGCGCCGCCGCCGCCGGCCGGCCGCGGCTCGACGAGCACGCGCGCGCTCGCCGGGGCACGGCGCCGCGGAGCCGGGGGAGCGCGCGCCAGACAGGCGAAGACAGCTGCTGTCCGTCAGCGCGGCGGGGCCGCGAGCTCTCGCGAGAGCTCCCCGGGCCGGCCGCGAGAAGTGGGGCTCAGGTGTAAGAGGAGTGCATCCCGTCGGCGCGCCGGGCTAGAGCTCTTGCAGGAGCCGGACCGCGAGACCCGCGCGCCGGCGCTCTGCGCGGTCCGAGGCGGCGGCCCCGCGGCGGCAGCGGCCCCGCGGCGAGGCCAGGGCGAGCGGCCGCCGCAGCCCCGGCAGGGAGGCCGGGCGAGCCGGCGTGCGCACTTTGCCGCGGACTTTGCGAGTGTTTGTGGATTTACATGCCAAGCCGCCAAGATGATGTCCATGAACAGCAAGCAGCCTCACTTTGCCATGCATCCCACCCTCCCTGAGCACAAGTACCCGTCGCTGCACTCCAGCTCCGAGGCCATCCGGCGGGCCTGCCTGCCCACGCCGCCGGTAAGCGCCCCGCGCCCGCGGCCCCCTCCCCCGCTCCGAGCTGCTGCATGTCGGGGGGCTGCCGCGCGCGGCCCCGGGCCCCGCTTCCGCGGGCGGGACTTCACGGAGGGCTCCCGCGGCGAGGCACGCGTGCCCCCCGGCGCCCCAGGCCGCGCTCCCGGCCGCCCGCGCCTCCGTCCGGCGCCCGCGGCCAGAGGGGGGAGAGCCGGGGCCAGGACGCTCCGACTTCGCTCCACTTTCTCTGTCCATTTCACGCCTGCACGAGGCGGTCTGTGTGCTCGCTCGGGTGTGTGACGCGGGTCCTTAGCTTCGAGTTACATCTCCGTTTCTTCTTCTTCTTCTTCTTCTTTTTTCCCCCCTTCTTCTTTTCGCCCCTTTCCGTCTCCCGCTCCCTTTCCCGGAATGTGTTCCCGCGTCCCCTTCTGCCCCCTTCGCTGCCGCCCTGGCCCTCCCCTGCTGGTCCCCCTGCCTGTTCTCCGTGCGTCCCCCGCTTCTGCGTTTACCCCGCTCTTCCCACCACCCCCGTTGTTATTTTGGTCGCTTTGTGTTTGCCTTTTGCCGGTGCTTTCCGGCTCGTGTGTTTGGTCTGTGTGGTTTTTTGTTTGTTGTTGTTGTTGTTTGGTTGGTTTTGTTGTTTTGGTCTCTCCCCCCTTTTCTTTCCTTTTTTCCCTTTTTGTTTTGTTTGGTTTGTGTCGCCTGCAGCTGCAGAGCAACCTCTTCGCCAGCCTGGACGAGACGCTGCTGGCGCGGGCCGAGGCGCTGGCGGCCGTGGACATCGCGGTGTCCCAGGGCAAGAGCCACCCTTTCAAGCCGGACGCCACGTACCACACGATGAACAGCGTGCCCTGCACGTCCACGTCCACCGTGCCGCTGGCGCACCACCACCACCACCACCACCACCACCAGGCGCTCGAGCCCGGCGACCTGCTGGACCACATCTCGTCGCCGTCGCTCGCGCTCATGGCCGGC